ACCCTTCCTCTGAGGGCCCCCCTCAAAAAAAAAGGCATACTCAGCAGCAGCAGCTACCCCCACCACGACAGAGGAGCAAACTTTGCGAGGCGACCCAGGGAGCCTCCAGAGCCGTGGTGGCTGAAGCAGGATGAAGAGGAGGAGGAGGAGGAAACACTGCTGGGTGCTGAGGCGGCCACCGACCGGGCTGGTGCTGGGGGTGCCGAGAGAGAAAGAGAGCCACAGAGCCACTTCCCTGGAAGAGGTGGCGGCGGCAGCTGCTATTGGTGGCTTAGAGGCACTCTTCGAGGACAGGCTGGGAGCGAGCTCCGCTCTTAGGCATCGCTCGGCGGTGGCTCAGGCACTGGGGGACAAGGGCTGGCAGTGCACCTTGCTTGCCAGCTCTCCTCCAAGACAGTGTCTCTTGCACCCTCCACCCAGAACTGTAGCCTGCCAGCTAGCAGACAGGCGGGCTGGTTGGCAGGCTGCAGTTCCGGGTGGAGGATGCAAGAGGCGCTGTCTTCGGTGAGAGAGCCGGTGAGCGAGGCAAGGCTTTTTTTTTTTACTCTAGACAGCAGAGGATGCATGGGCACTTCGGGGGGGGGGAGACAAGGCGGGGGCTACAAACTATTGTCCGGCGGGTCACAAATGGCCCCCAGGCCACATGTTTGAGACCCCTGATCTAAGCTTTTCTGTTGACTGCAAAATGGTCTTTTTGTCTTCTCTAATATTATTTCCAGTTTCAATGCATTGGAGTTTCCTTTCACCTCTGTGTACCTTAGGCACTAGATGTCCTTTTGGCCTTAATCGGGTTGCTTCTTTCGTGACAATGCTGGCCATACTTTTCCATTTCTTTTCCCTTGTAGCTCACTAGGTGTTTTCCAACCTAGAAATCTCATCTTCTAGCACTGTATCTTGAAGAAATATACAGCAGTAACAAATATGCAGTAGTGGTTTCCTGTAGACTTCTTCTGCACAATGTTGACAAAGTTAGCTAGGGTATAGCTGCCATTATTTATGAAAGATCACCTACCAGTGTCAACTTCCACTACTCCTGCTGCCCAGTAGTTGCCATCCAGGAATTTCTCCACCCCTGTCACTCTTGCGGATGTGACCAATAGTTCTGAAGAGAGTGGATGCATCTTAATCTGGTGTCACATCTTTGGCCATTCTGTCTTGGGTGACCCTTGTAGGAGTCCAAATTTGTAATGTAGTCCAGCCAACTGATGGCATTGCTTCATCTTCACTAGTATGTTTAGACCCCTTCAGCAACTTTGGGTGTGCATCCAAGAGGAAAGGCATCTAACATAGATATTGGTAAATTATACTGCAAACTGAGAAATGTGACCTTTTTTTTCAAATAAAACTTGTAAGTATATCAGTGTGTGGTAGGATATTTCTCTTGGGGAGTGATTTTGGTGTGTGAAGATATCACGTAAGTGAGCCTCCTGTCCTTCTTGCTTTCATGTATTAATGGTCTCTCATGGGTTTAGACTGTGAAAAAACACATTTGGTAATGTGAGACTCTTCTACACTTTTGTATTTATTACCCGACAAATGATTATTGCTGTCCTGACAGAGGAACAGATTCTGAATCTACACTTTTGTATTTATTACCCGAAAAATGATTATTGCTGTCCTGACAGAGGAACAGATGCTGAATCTAGAATTAATTTGCTTTTTCTGAATAAAATATGTGTGTGTTTGCATCTAAAAGATTTTCAGTGTCTGCTTAATGATTGTCGTGTGTTTCTCATATGAAACTGTTCGTAGGAGCCTCAGTTTCTGTATTTCCTTTTGCTGGCACTGTGATGGTTTACTCTAAAAATTTTAATTCTCATTATGAGAGAAACTAGAAGGTTTTTTTTAAAAGTGGGACTACTGTATTATGTTTTTGTTGCATTTAATGTTTTTAGTAGATTTTATCTACTAGTATTATTATATTTGTTTAATTATTTTTAAATATTGTAGTAATTTATTTTTCTTAGCTTTTAAGATGGTTTCTTTTTAATATCATAAGTCACTTTTGGTCCTTTTAAGGAGAAAGACAGGATATAAATATTTGAAATAACTAAAATAATAAAATCAATAAACCATTTCCCCCCCTCAACAGCAAACACGTATTTATTTATGGTACAAGCACGAGGTATAATGCTGAAAGAAAATGTGAAGACAATAGGACATATGATCAGACTGTACACAAATAAGAATTCTACCCTTAATGGCACAGGTAAGAATGCAGTGATTCAATGATGTTATACCTTTTCAGTGACAATCTTAACTAATAAAGCTCTAGATTCAAATCTCAGCAAGTTATTTTGCATCCAAACCAGATTTTTATAGTGCCACATTTTTAAAAACCAGTTACATTTTTAAAAATTGGTATATTTCCTTGAAAGCACTATACAAGTTTTCATCTTTTCACCCCTTCCATTAAGATTACTCTGAAGGAAACAACACACGTGACAGCTTTGCTCAGACTGTTATGTATCTTCCAGAAAACTTCAGTTACTCTCCTTGCCAGCCTTGTCCAGAAAAGTTGCCACATATGAGTAAGTTTATCTACAGTAGCATGCATAAGCTGTTTGATTGCTTTATATTCTTTTGAAACACTATTCTTCAATAAAATAAAGGAGCGGTGTTATATTTATTGAAATTACTGTAGTTCTAACATAGATATTAAATATAATTCATACAATATAGCTAGAATTCCCCAAGGCAAGAAAAAGAGGACAGAGCCTTAAAAAAATTAACAATAAAGGTTTTTAAAAACCTCCCTAAATTTGTACCACAATTTAGAGCTGTAGAGGGGAATGGATTTCTAGGTCTAAATTGTCTAAAACATGCTATTCAGTCAGGTAATTATTTATGTCATGTTTAAGGTTTAGAACTTCAATTCAGTTGAGACTACAAGCAAAACTGTCAATTGTTGCCTCATGGAGTTTTGGGTGACTCTAAAGTGTAGGTTGGTTTTCTAGTTGAAGTATTCCATAGGAACTCAATTTAAAATTTATTTATTAGATTTCTATCCTGCTCATCTAGACCAAGAGTCTACTCTCAAAGTTAATGAAACATTATTTCCAGATGCATAAGCCATGTACTCCACCCCCCTTCTCCTGCAACATGGCTATAAGGAGGAGGTAGATAACTTTTGCTTTTGATTTCAGTTAGCCACAGTTTAGCATTGTGCTTGAACTCTGACCTGTGAATTATTTTAACTGTGGTTAATTTAAAGTAAGTTGATTTCATAAACTGTGCTGTGGCATCCAGGGCCATCATTCTTCTGATAGAATTGTTTCTGTCCAGAGAACTAGTAGACATTCACTTTCCTCTTCTCCCCTAGCCTCCTATATACTCATAAATCTGCTTTGGAGGATGGGGAAACCCCATGGAGCAGATTTGTTTTGGAGAGCTTACAGGAGAGATGAAAAGGAAAGCAGGTCTCATAAAAATAGTGGACAAGCTCTGGTGTGATACTGATTTACGCCATGGATTAAATCTTTCTTGTTTTGATTATCATTGTTATTTCAAACCACAATTTATAAATAAATAATAAATAAATAAATTTATTGGGGCTTAGGACTAATGCATAACTGTAAAACAAGGGTGGGTAATACCTTTATTAGGTCTCTGCGATATCAAAAACAGGCAAATTTGAATTCATGCAGGAATCTTTATTGGGCTGGCATGGTAGAGGTTGGTGGTGCTAAGAGTGGTGGTGATGGAGAGAAATAGAAGAGTCCCCAAATCCTCTGTGGTTATGTGTAAACATATGTAAAAGCTTCCAAACTCTTCTGTGTAGAAAGGGAAGTGCATGTGTCTGAAATTCATTGTGATGATGGACAATCACATTGAGTTAAGGCATAATTCCAGTTGTTTGTTCCAGGTAGGGCAGAACCATGAAATCAATTGCTGAACATAAATTAGCAGTTATGTAAATCCAGATAGCTGATTTTTTTTCTTCACTAGTCTCTAGACTTCTGTGCATGATAAAGAGTTCCGGAGAATTCAGTGTCTTACCTTGTTTATAGCTTTTTAGTGATTCACTAAAGTTATTGCCCAATCCAGAGGCTTGTGACCTTACCGGGGAGGGAGGGGAGAGGATGATTTCTGCTTTGAGACTTTGCTTTCTCTGGAGTCACAAGGATGCCAGAAAGACTCACATTGTCTATTATGGTACAGAGATGTTGGCAGTGGGATGGTTTTAGCCTTGGTTGGGTCCTTTGAGGCTGTGGTCTCTGTAGATCATGGCAAGTCTGGATGATGTTCCCTAGGGGTGAGACTAAGGGAATGAAACAAACCTCCTGGCCTAGACTGGGATGGGCAAAGACTTCTCAAGGATTGTAACTGGATTTAGAAGTAAGTATAAAGCTAAACCTCTCATGTTTTCCATTTTTCCTTTTCTGGAAATTACTTAATTCCAAGATTATGTCAGGGGCATTTCAAAATGTTTATTAAAATATAATGTTTTTATGTATGTTTAACATCGCTTTACTGAATTGTTTATTTTTAAAACGATGGTTGATGTTGTAATTTGTATTTTATTGCATGGACCATCTTGAGCTCAGTTTAGTAGAGAATGGAATATGCATACAGTTCACCACATAATTCCTTTATTAACAAAAGTCTAAATTTGAATTAATATTTTGTACTTCACATTATCTAGGAGGCTTTATTGATGCCAATATGAGTGAAATCAGTTTGGAGGAAATTCAGCAGATGTTTTCAAAAGATTTAGACATTGAGCCAGGTGGGCACTGGAAGCCAAAGGACTGTAAACCACGTTGGAAGGTAAGATGTTATTTATATTGTTCTACTAACCCATTTACTTTTTTTCTTTCAAAAACAACAACAAATTAAATAAAACAACACACACACAACCTCCCCCCCCCAAACCTGTATGAGAATATGACTATGTGGAAGGTCATCCCACGGTGAAGTGAACTTCTTTGTGTCACACTCTGGTACTTAACTTGCTGTCATTGTTCACACAAAAATGTTCAGTTATCCTAGGAATGTGTCTTTCAAGTGTCTGTACATCACATTACCTATTTCACCTTTCTCTGCCATTATCACTATTCTCTTACCCTCTTCTTTCACCATCTTTCTCCCCCACTGTTTGGCAAGTGCAATAGCACTGAATTGACAAGGCACAGTAAACATTTGAATCAATGCCTTATAAATTTAGAATTAGTATATGATAACTACCTGGCTCTTCCAATTGTTTTTATCAGGGTGCTGTATGATTTAACACATCTCAGTGATGCTCTAAAGTTTGAAATTGCTTTCTTTTGGATCACATCTACAAAACCTTAAAAACATACCTAGAACATATAAATGGATATATATTTATATTCCATCATTACATTTTCCCATTCAACAAAATAATGTGACTTCAGACTGAATTAGACCATAAAGGCATAAGTCTTAATCTATATATCTGTTCCTCTACACTAATCAGATGATTTGTTTTTAGAAGAATCATGTATGTGAGTAAAAAACATTGAACCGTACACCTCTTTACTTCTCTGTTCTCTGTTGCTTGATGCACATTTCTCCTAGCTTCATTCATTTAAGCTGTTTGAGCTGGGGAATCACATCTGATATTGAAATAGAAGTCTTCTGTTCTCTTTCTTATAGACCAGAGGTGTAGAAAGTGCAGTTCTTTTGTCGTAAGCAGCCCCTAAGGCTATTTCTGCAGCCCCCAGCCCTTCTCAGTGAAAAGGAAAACAGTAAGAAAGGTAAACTGCAACTCTCAGAAGCTTCCAGGGAGCTGCAAAGTTTAACTTCCCTCAAAAACACAAAAAACAAATAAACAGGAAAAAGGGGGAAAGCCTCCCCTGTATCTTCCTTCCTTCCTTCAAAATGTTTATATCCCACCTTTCTCCTTAGAAAGAACTGAAGAATTAACAATGTGACTAGACAGGTGAGGAACCATAGATTAAATTGTCTTGCTGTACATTTTTAAAACTCAGTACCTGTTCGCTTCTGCTTCTAAAATTACTGTAACCGTTTAAGTCAATAACATAAATTATACTGTTCCAAGAGTCCATCATGCACTTCCCAGTCACCCTCTTCTGCAACTGATTTTCTGACACTTTGGACTTGAGATAGCACATCTTGCTGAGGTAGGAGCTATGAGTTGAAAAGCAGAAATATAACATTTCTAGAAGGAAAGGTAGATTGTAATTGTCCGAATGAAAGACCAGCTACAGAAAGAAAGCAAATTAATCAGCAGAGCAAGGCAACTGCAACACTGATGTGGCACAGCACTAGAACTGACAGGCAGACCAAAAATAAAAGAGCGAGAAGAAACTAAAAAGAAAAAAAATAGAGAAAGAAAATATTAAAAAAGAAGGAAATGGTTTAGAGGAAGAAAGAATACAGATGTTCATTTTGGAGGGATTATTTTGCTCTAATGGCACACTGTGCCCTATTGAAAACATCACTGAAAAAATCAATGTGGTAAAACTTCTCAACTGCACATTTAGACTGTAACAGGACAAACAATCCACTGCTGTTCAAATAGAAATGAGTGACACCAGAAAAATGTGGATTTCCACAGGTTTAGCTTTATGTTGTGTAGATGGAGAAAAATATATCAATTTCAAGCATGCAAACTCTGACACAAAAAACAGAGGATAATGCATTGTAGCTGCACCATAAATTTGTGGCTGGGATCCAATTGGATTCTTGCATTGGTAGAAAAAGTACAGCAATGAGGAAGGAGATTTCCTATTTCCCATGGAGCCCCCATAGCTTGCAGCAAGAGGCGGTCCCTTTCTCATTCCCTGCTTTGGGGTTTTTTCCAAATCTTCTAAACAGATCCTGAGAGCATGCAGGGGCTGCATGAGAAATGGAGATCTGCAGCTTAGATTTATTACTGGCCTCTTTACTTCTGCTTCTCTAGTGTGTGAAGGGTTAAGTTATGCTTTGCATCTTTGTTGGAAATATCTTCATACTGGATAAATTTACCTCATCCTTCCCTCTCTGCTCTGGCACCACTCTGTGATACCAGCAAGCTAAAATAACTTCCTTGCAGATGATTCAAGGTTGGTTGGCTCCAATGTGATTTTTTTAAAATGGTAACCTATAGAATTCTATCCAGAAGCTAACAGGAGTTGTATTAACATTAACTTTAAAAACCATCTTTTAAATGTATTTACTTATCTCATTTTTTTTTCCAAAAAGAATGACACTCATGTACACAATTTTAATGTTTAAATAAACAAATGGAAATTTTGGATTGTATTTTTTTTCAGATATGGTGGATATACAAAAAACTGAAAAGAAAAATCACACATTAAATACCTTACATTGTAATACAGAAAAACATAATTACCAACCACTTTCTTTCTTTATATTTTGATGCGAATTTCTGCAGTTCAGCACTGCTGGCATGATAGATTTCAGCTTTTTTTTTTTTTTAAGGTTGCAATACTCATCCCTTTTCGCAATCGCCATGAACATCTTCCAATATTTTTCCGACACTTGATACCAGTTTTGCAAAAACAGAGGCTGGAATTTGCTTTTTATGTTGTTGAGCAGGTGAGGTGCTTTATATTTGTTTAATAATGATTTCAGATTCATTATTGAGTATTATTTGGAAAGTGTGAAGGCAAGAGGAGAAAGGGATGACAGAGGACGAGATGGTTGGACAGTGTCATTGAAACTACCAACATGAATTTGACTCCGTGAGGCGAGGCAGTGGAAGACAGGCAGGCCTGGCGTGCTCTCGTCCATGGGGTCATGAAGAGTCGGGCATGACTTAACAACTAAACAACAACAACATTATTTGAAAGAGTATCATTAATGGCCAACACTGTAAAGTGTGGCTCTGTCAAATATAGACTGGAATCCTGTTTACACCTGCAAAAATATGTTAGCCATTACACCTCAGCAAGAAGGACTGCACAATTCAATTGTGCAGTTTCTCACACAATTTCCATTGTGACCAACTGCCCAGTAAACCTGGGGAAGTTATTTGTGAACAGCCCTGGTGTAATTGAACTATTTCATGCATAAGTTATACATGCATGCTACTCAATAGGATTCCAGCCATGGTATTCAGGAAAATTCCCTAAAAGTGTGCTTCCTGTGCATGGAAACTTTAATTGGATATAATAAAAATAAATTCCTTTTTATAATTATAACTGATGTCTTATGTGTCTGGTTTTGTGGATTGTATCAAATGTTTTCCACATTTTAACTGCTTTTCTGTTAGCAGGGATGTGCCAAATTATGTCTTGAATCCAGATTTAATCATACTTAGAGTAGACCCATTGAAAGCAATGTGGAAAAACATTTTAAAAACAGTGAGTCGAGCAGAGATGTCCAGCGCTCCGTCTTACCCAGTGACTTTCGATTATTTTCAGCCTGTAATGCCTGATTCCGTCTCCAGGGTGCTTGACCGCTGCCGAGCCACCACCTCCTCCTTGGACCCTTGCCTGGCCTGGTTAATCAAAGCAGCCAGGCCGATAACAACAGAATGGGCCACAGTAATAATAAATGAGTCTTTCCTTGAGGGTAGATTTCCATCCGCCCTCAAGGAGACACTCATTAGGCCCATAAGAAAGAAACCTAGTTTGGCGGCGGA